TTGCTTTTTTTTTTCTTCAACATTAAAATCTTTAATTAAGACAGCAAATTTTTTGAGCCCTTGCAACCGATACCACAGATAACAAAACTGCACTTGAAAGAAAAAAAAGAAATCTTGAGCTCATGTAAGCAATACCACCGATTAAGAAACGGCATTGTAAAAATAATCTTGAGCACCTCCAACAGATACCACATAACGGCACTAAAAGAAAAAATCCTAATTTTGAGCATAACGCAATTTAACAATGGTCAACGAAATGCTTTCAATTCCAGAGCAGCCCGCCTTGTTGACCCGACCTGGTCCTCTTGATTCACAGCGATTAATTAATGATTAACGTCCTCTGCTTTTAATACGTCTCGTGCTTTTAGCAGCAGTAGCCATAACAGTTTTGTGGAAGGCACAACGATAGACGTCTTTCTCTCCCATAACGGCACGGTAGCCTGAGACCGTCATATCTTCTCTTTCTCTTTTTATCTTTCCTCTTGTACCTCCAGTGCGTCAGGGGAGAAAGAGCTTTCTGTCTCTAGCTAGCTGGATGGCCTGGCTAGGTGGGATGTTGTATGTTTTCAGGATATCCTTCGCACCCTCGGTCCAGATCTTCCTCAGTCTTCCTCTTGCCTTGTAACCTAGTATTCTTTTGTAGTACGCTTTACTGGCAATCTGGTGAGGTGACATACGCGTCAGATGTCCAAACCAATTGATTGTTATCCTCTGAATGTAGTGGAGGCCTTGTGTTGTTCCCATCATTTCTCTGATCCTCTTGTTGACCGTCATTTTGTCAAACCAACGAAAGTCTGATTGCGTAAACTGGAGGCTTATCCCTTCCTCAGAAATGCTATGTTTTATCTGACATTTGAGGCCGTTTTGACTTACTAACATTATGAGGCCAGAAATCAAAGTTCTACCTCCAGTTTCAAAATCATAAAATTATTCGGTGTCCTTATCAAGATATTCAACGAATTGCACTCGCAAAAGCTTGACATGTTGTGAAATCATTTTTTTACGTCAAATTTCTCAAAACCGAGTACTGAGCTGATAGAACTTGGTAATTCTGAGGTAGCGAGGCATATCTTTACTTGCCAATATGTCTGGCATAATTAGGTGTCAAACACAGTGGACTCAGGTAAACGTCAATTATTTGTTTTCGATATCTTTTAAAAATATTTTTTAGTAAGTGTTTTACTGCGCACGCAACTGCATAAGGTCATATGGGTGCTCGGGGCACATTTTAAACATTTTCACTTAGTAGGAAATTTTGAATTTTGACCTGGTGGCGACCGAAGCCGACTGTTATCGATTTTGGACCACCAAGGCATCTTTAACGTGCGCACGGGACCTCCGAGATTTTTCGCCCTTGTCCGAGAATGCTAGGTGTAGATCAGGGGTGTGGCTGAAAGACAGCAGTAAGAAGGAGCCAAGGAGTAGCAGTGAAAAGGCTGCATAAAGAGCCATGAGCCCATAGGAGGGGGCAAAGGAGGTGAGGGCGGATGAGGACAGAAAGTAGAGACGAAAGCAGACAACAGAACATTGCTAGATTAGGAAAGGAGGTGAAAGGAGATAATTTTAGAGAAGAAAAATTTCCGTCGCTATCCGGTTTCGCAGACGGAATGAGAGGTGAACAACTTAACCTCTGGGCCGTAAGACCCCCCCTTTTCAATATCTCAAGTTAATGGTGTCATCTAAAACGTGTTTATTTGTCTTGATTCAATGACAAAATATTCATCTTTCTTTAGAAGAAGTCGAAATATTTGTAATTGAAGAAGGTGGGATCACCTTGTATCAGAAGCAAAATAATCGAGAAAATGGGCGTCAGAATTTGATGACTTCCAAAGCTCGGGTGTTCTAGGAAACTGCAAATTTGCAATAAAAAAATTTGGGTGTGCCTTTTATCAACTTTTTCCCCAAAAATTCCGTGCAGAAAAATGTGTATTGAGTGACATGACAGTGATGAGCCACTCCCCCCCCCCAAAAAAAAAAAACGGATGAAAAAAATCGACAAAAATTGCCCAGCGAGCGGAAAAAAATGTCACGTCCGTATGTTTGAGGGAGAGTCAAAAAGTAATGCAAGTTCGTTTATAACTTAGAGAAAAAAGAACGCACTGGCAACTATCATAACCCAAATTGAAGGGGAACATCTGAGGATCAGATTTCTATATCTTAACATAGTCTCCATTTTATTCAATAGCCACTGTCCACCTTTTACTAAGTCCACATAATATGCCAGCTTCGTAAAACTGAGCAGGCTGGTCTTTGGGGTACAGCAGTCTTGATTTCTCCATCGTGTCCATAGTGTTGACATCTCAATGATTCTCTTTGACGACCAAACAGGTGGAACTTTGAAGTTGCCAAATCTGGAGAATCAGCTGGGTGTGACAGTGCTTTCCATCCAAACGGGGTGATTGTCTCCTTCGTTCTGGTATTCGTATGCAGGCAGACTTTGTCACGGTAAAAAAAAACACTCTTTCCATGTTTAAATATGGTCTGACTTGTCGAATTCTCGCCTTCAGTCGTTTCAGTGTTTCAATGCAGGCTTCAAAATTGACAATTGTTCCTCTTGGTAAAAAAAAATTGTGAGATGCACTCTATGAATGTCCCAAAACACGGTTGACAAAACGGTTCAACCAGATAGGGTCGAGATCCTGAAATGTCTCTCCCGCCAGCTGATTGAGGAGGAAGATAGGGAGGCAGAGGCCAGTACTGCCGTGGAGAGGATGATGCTTTTGGGAATAAAAAAAGGAAGCGGAAAATCTGGCATCCTTGCAGGAAAGAACAGAAAAACGTTCAACCAGATGTGCACTGGCACAATCAGTAGAGGGACCCTCGGCAACATTTTGGAGAGAGCAACGGTATATCAATGGACATGTCCGGAGTGCAGGGATGTTGCTTCCTGAAACAATAACAGTAACAAAACACGGTTGCCATGCTTTTTTTCTGCTGATTCTTCGGGACGATGCTTGTCTGACAAGCACATGGACACCTCTTCCTTTTCCTCCGGTTCATTGCTCAAACTTCTAACCCATCTATATACAGAGCCAAAATCTAGAGCTTGATCCTTGTAAACATTTTGAAGTTTCTTTTGGATGTTACGATGTATTCTTCTTCTAGAACAAGGAAGTCAATCACAGTTCTTTGCCTCTGACAGACCTCCACGGGGGCAGCCATTTTGATGTGACGTCATTCAGGCAAAAAACAAAGAAATTTAAATTTTAACAGCTTGAGCTCAAAAGTACATGTGCAAGTACTAGTGAGCTGAATTTCATATAATTTGATGCAAAATTGTGCAAAAAAACTAAAAACTTGCATTACTTTTTGACTCTCCATAGTACTTTGACGAGCAGCTGATTTCACCACGATCCAGGATGCTGCACATAAATCATATTCGCCTCTATACCCGTGATATAAAACATATTCGCCTCTATACCCGTAATATAAAACATATTCGCCTCTATACCCGTAATATAAAACATATTCGCCTCTATACCAGTAATATAAAACATATTCGCCTCTATACCAGTAATATAAAACATATTCGCCTCTATACCAGTAATATAAAACATATTCGCCGAGAACAGATCAGCGGGAAGCTCGAGTCACGTGGTAAAGATACGTGGTTCCAGCTGACCACTGTGTGTCCACCTCTCAGGACAGATTTTGGCCATTAGGAATTAGCATTGTGGCTTGTCACTCCACTGTTGAAGGAGAGGTGGTTGGGG